TATGCTGTCTAGGACGACTTCCTTCGCTGCGGGACTTCCTTTTCTTCCATCCATGAGTGCAAATATACGTCCGCTGGTACGGGTCGTAGCCGTCGGGCACCAACTGGGACTCGTCTTCACCCTTCTTCTTCTTCTTGAGCCTCTTGTTGCGTTGTGCTCTGGACATGATATATTTGACTGGTATTACTTGCAGCGTCCGTTGCCAGTAGTCCTCAAAATATTCTTGCCAAGCTTCCCAACTGCCGTGATACTTCACCAGCGGGTCCACAGACGTAATTGCAGCGTCATCATCATCCGTTCCATCTGTTTCCGACGGACGTCCAGCCCCTACATATTTCTCCGCCTCTCCAGCACTCGCATGACCTTCCGATTCATCCATTTCGCAGTCACTGCTCTCTCCACCATTCAAAGGGCTATCGCCGCCTCCAACCAGGAGTTCAGGTGGCGCCACTTGGCCTCCCCACTGCGTATTGGAAAGGTCCGAGCCTCGGTATCGGGGCAGGAGCCGACGTTCGTCGGCGCGTCCGCGAGTGCCGGTTGCATTAGCGGTAACCGCGTCCTGGGGCATCTTATCTGGAGGCGGCACAAAATAAAATGAATGCTTTCGATATATTCATTTCGGAAATAGGAGAGCGGTAATGTATTTAATTTTAATCATGGCCGAGGACATGATTAATAGCATGTGCGCTTCCATGTAAATAATCCTGGCCTGCAACGGTTTCGAAAAAACAAAAGAAGTTCATTTCAAAGATTTGAAAACACATCAAAAGGACACACGATAAACTTATACGTTTTACACTATACTTTAATTCGTAGCCCAAAAAACGGAGTGCCAGGGCGTGGACGATGCATTAAGTTTGAAGGACCACAACGAGTGGCTACATATATTCAATCTTGCGGGGGGTATTTCTAAAATAGTGTTTTCCAGTGAAGATTTGGGTAAGCTGGTTCGACATGTCGAGAATGCTGCTCTAAAAACTGTCGATGGTTTGGAGCACATGGATCGCCACGTTGATGACAGGAACTGCATGAAAAGCACATTACACTACATTTATAACGCGTGGAGAACGAACCCGACGAGTTTCGTTTGGCATATTCATCCTTGGTTGTGGAGGCAATTACTAGCTCGAGCTTAAATTTTTTTAAATCTGACAAACTTTACTATTTGTTAAAGATCCCAACAGAAGATTTGCTCTCGTGGCGTAAGAAGGAGACGCGAGAGAGTCCTGCTCCAAGCCTCGCTTCTAGGGCGCTAACAGTAAGACCGTTCGAGCCGATCAATGGCAGCAGCAACACCTTGTCGCGATTGGGTCCATTTGATGCAAAATCAATGTTTATCCAAGCGTCATCTAGAATTGAGAATAAATTGATGATGTATTTTCCTCTGTTGATGCCTTTCCCTGCGGTTGATGCTGTGCTAGTCTTACCCGATCAACGTCTTATCATCTACGCACAAGCTGCAGTGTCGAAAGCCCACCCAATAAAGTACCTCCTTTTTGAAGATATCTCCAATAATTTGACAGAGCGAAGTAAACATAAATGACTAAGAGAGAAATGACGCAGTGAAAGAGCTTACACACATACTCCTCTTCGTTGCGTCGGGTGCCACTTACAGTAATTTCTCGTTTTAACCCTAGGGACGAAAATACACGCAGGACGAAAGCAGGAATCATCGTGACTCAGTACGCCGAGAAAATAATGAATTTGTAAAAGTGTTTTAGCGTAACTAAAACAAGTGTAGTAACTTACAGTTTTAGTAATTTAAAGGCTGATGCAGTGCATCTGAACCATGTTCACAAGTAGTTGATTAGCATATTACACTACATCGGCAAAGAATTATAGTAAATCTAGCTATCAATCCCAATGTTTTTTTAAAGTAAGAGAAAAAGACCGACCCAGTTACGGTTCCCCCTCCAAACTTACACGTTGTACTGTGACATGTGCTGAAAAACTGCAAAATGACATTTTCCCACACATTATGTAAATACGAGTCGTATTATACGACTGGTTAAAGAATGTGAAATGCACAGGGTTAGGCAAAATTCTAGCACAAAGACCCTGCACTCTTCACAAGAACTGTTCACATATTTGTCGCAGCTGTGACCAGCCGCCACTCATTCGTTTCGATTTTAGCTGGCACAAAGCCGAGAGGTAGAAGATGGTTGCTTCTCGCGAAACACGCAGCGAGTCGGAAGCATTTTTGCGCGGCTCGGATGCAAACGTGGGGAGGCCCGGCACCTCACGGTAGCCTAGCATAAGGCTTATTTGAACAGGGAGCGTGAGACTGCAGTGTTGGCAACCGACGTAGAAACGAAATTTCGTTGAAAGCGTTCATACGCGTTGAAACGTTGGTAAGAAGTCGGTAAAGATATAACCCCCGTCAGAACGTTTTTACGGACTTATTACGCGTTGTTTCGTAAGCCATTTCGGTTGTTCGTGGTAGTGTGTGTCCTCCTGCAGATAAGAAAAGATCCTATTTTGATCTAAGGGAACTTTGCAGCGTAGAGTGTGGCTTGCTATTCGCCGCAGGATCACAGTCTCTAACTTCCTGGTCGTTCATACAATAACTTTGAGCCCGTCTTACCTTCCGTTTCTGGCCGATGCCTGCCCCAGCTTCCGAAGAACGTAGTCATTTCTTCAAGAGCCAAGTGCCCATTGTCCAGAAGGATGGAAGCGTATCCGACAAGCACCACTGGTGGGTCTGCAAAAAGTGCCAAGCCGCGCATGGCAACAGCGCCGGCAACGTGGCAGCACCGGAGTAAATTCGTGATCGTGCCGACGCTTATTGTAGTCATCTAAAGCGCTGTCCATACCACCGACCGGAGGCTGTTGCTACGACCCTACCTGTAATTTCGTCTGTGCGGTCCATCTCGTCAATTGGATCTTCGAGTAGCACCGCAGCAAAACGGCAAAAACGGATGAGTGATTTCATATGTCTATGAACGAGCAACATAGGTTTGAGCGTGATCTTCTAGAGTTTCAGGCTGAGTGCCCGCTACCAGACTATTTCATCGAGCGCGATTCAACCAAGAGGCTGTTTGCACGGATGCAGCCGCGCTATGAACTACCTACAAGAAAAGAGCTCGGTGGTCGTATTCTTAAAATTAATGCAGAAAGCGCAGAAACTGCGTCAAATGAGAGCCTGTGAGAGAAGCAAGAGGATACTGGCGGGCGGATGAATTACCTTTCTGACGTATACCAGAATGTCGCTCGACGTCACCTTCTTACATGCCAACTTTGCATGTTTGGCATTGTTGTCCAGTTTGAGTTACTACCCGTCGACTCAGCTCACCATGACATTGCCATAGCCAAGCAGATGGAGGGATCACTTATGAGAGCGTTGGTACTAGGATGGATTATTGGTGCCGTCGTTACTGACGATGCGGGTCAATGCGCAAGGGCCAGACGAATACTGGCCTTAAGATGGCCAAATATTGTGTTTTTACGGTGCTTCGCTCATGACGTGAACAACTTGGTTAAAGCCGTTTAGAAGACAGTGTTTAAGACAGTAACGAAGCAGGCAGCTTCTGCGATGGCAAGTTTAAACAGTTCATCGGCAAAGTGGCTCGTGCGTGCGAACGAGCGCGTTTATGTAATGTATGGGGAAACATTGGCTTTTATTATGCTGTGTGAGACCCGCTGGAATAGCATGCAGGCATGCTCTGCAAGCCTGCTTCGCGTTAGATCGGCGTTAGAAGATCTGGCCCACGGATATCGATATGATGTTGAATTCCCTACAACGCTACATGTATTTCGCGACCCGCTGTTCTGGAGAAACTTAATCGATGCTGAGCGTGTCATCCGGCCGCTGTAGGAAGCATCCTATCGACTACAAAAAGATGACAACACAATGGCGGACGTCGTGCGGTGCTTTGAAAAAATACATGCTGCCTTTGTTGCCAGTGCATACGCTTCTCATCTAGTCCCAGTGGTGGAGAAGCGATGGGCGAACTGTGAGCAACCGCTGATGCTTCTCGCTTTCGCATTGCACCCGCTCTACGTGACCCATACGCGTGCCTTAATCCAAGCTCACGACAATACTGTCATTTTAATGTCAGTAGACGGCGTCTCCGCTGCTGCTGACTATTACTATCGCCGCTATGTTGATCTCAACAGCAACGGACTCGTAGGTGATGTCGACAAGTGGTTGCGTGGCAAATTTACCCCGAAAAAGCACACTGACTTCACTGACCAGGCCGGTGTCCTTCAACCGAATGGGGTAATTGATTATTGGGTCCACGTTACAGATTCGTGGTACGTCAAGGGCAGTAAACTTCCTCAGCTAGCGAAAGTGATTCTGTCAGTCGCAGTGAACACTGCGACATGCGAGCGCTACTTTAGCGAGCTGGGATTGATACAGACACCACGGCGAAATAAGCTAAAGTTGATAAAGCTCGACTCATCGGCATCATTCGAAATGAGGTCCGCGAGCGCAATCGTCGGGAAAGTGATATCGGCGAGTGTAGAAGACAGAAGAAGCCTGTTAACCCTGCAGAGAGACCAAAACAGCAGATGCACGGAGTTTCCGATCCTGCAACCTCGCTGTCCACTCTGGCTGACGTTACTGATGTCGACTACATGGAGACTGTTGGAGCAGTGGACTTCTGGTTGGACGCCATCGTCGATCTAGAAGACGATGGAGAAAATATTGTGAATAACGTCGGTGACGATGAATGGTATGTTTATTACCCAGAGCTGGAGCCAGTTCCTGTAGCTAACCGAAGCCAAGAGCTTCCAGATGAAGTATTCCATCGTATCCGCAGGGAAAGCTCTTGACGGGTTTGAGAGCTCAACAGGTTACGCTAGAAACGCTGTTTTCAAGCTGGGTGGAGCTGCCTGCTGTAGCAGCATCGCCGTAAAAGCTGACCGGACGCTAAAGCTTCCTCTCGCGTAGATATAGGTAAACTGTGCCAAGTTGTAAAGAGCGCTCTTATAAGTTTTTTCAATACAAGCTGCCAACGTTGGCTACCAAGTATATGTAGCATTTGAATCATTGGAATTCATCGCTCATCACTCGAAAGCGCCAAGTTATTCTCTAAACACCCTGCTGACGTCATGTCCTCCTTGTCTTCTTCATTCTCACTATTCGACACCATCATCAGCTTCTTGAACGATCTTTGCTCGATGATTGTTTCGTCAGCAATCACAGCGACCTGGTCGCAATGGCTCACGAAGCTCAGCGAGTGCGCCACTAGCAGCACCAGCTTGCCCTTCAGCGACTCCTTTAAGCACGCCTTGAAGATGTTGGTGCCCACATGGCTGTCCACTGCAGACAGAACGGCTTCCAGCAGATAAATGCCGACGTCCTGATACACCGCACAAGCGATGGCCACACGAGTGCGGTGGCTGCTACTAAGATTGAGGCCCTTCACACCGATCTCCGTACGGCCTCCAGCAGTCAGGGTACGTCTTAAGTAAGCTCACGCGCAGAGCGTCCTCGTACTTGTCGGCGTCGAACGGCAGTCCGAACGTGATGTTGGTGCACATCGTCTCGTTTTGGTTGAGCGGCTGCTGTGATTCGTATTCACCTTGCCATGAATTGCCACTGAGCCAGAGCTACAGCGGCGTCACCCAAGATTCCAGCCAGCAAAATGAGCTTGCCACTACACGTCCGGAGACGCGCCAGCTCCTTGTCGTGGGACGTCATGACGCGCTAACACAAAATAAACTGATGAAGGATTCTGTCTTGTGTTCGAGATCCGTAAAAACGTGTAAAAACGCGTAAAAACGTTACCACGGGTGGTAAAAAGTAAATCACGTTGCTTCACCTGTTGCAACGTCGTTATTGCCAACACTGTATTATACGACTGGTTAAAGAATGTGAAATGCACAGGGTTAGGCAAAATTCTAGCACAAAGACCCTGCACTCTTCACAAGAACTGTTCACATATTTGTCGCAGCTGTGACCAGCCTCCGGCCACTCATTCGTTTCGATTTTAGCTAACACAAAGCCGAGAGGTAGAAGATGGTTGCTTCTCGCGAAACACGCAGCGAGTCGGAAGCATTTTTGCGCGGCTCGGATGCAAACGTGGGGAGGCCCGGCACCTCACGGTAGCCTAGCATAAAGCTTATTTGTACAGGGAGCGTGAGACTGACGCCTATTTTGGCGACAGAGGTATTGTGAACACCAGGGAGGAGGGGGAACACGCGTATGCGGACGTGCAGACCACACATATGAAGACGGTGAGGGCGACGACTTCTACTCCGGCGCGGCATCCTCTGTCGCGCCCTTCAACGCAGGACAAGATTGCAGCATATATTGCAGCTGCAAAGAAGATGATGGTTGCCTGTCGTGCGGAAAAGACGAAGGTCAACCCCGAGAAGAAGCCAGCGAAAAAGATAAGCCAAGCAAAGAAGAAGATGTCGAAACCCACGCTCACGTCCAGAGCAATAGAGTCCAAGGAGGCCTGTGAACTCGTGCGTGCAATGTTTAAATACGTGTCGAGACAGGAAATTGTCAATCCGCCAAGTTTGCATAATTTGAATGTTGGTGAGCTACTGCTCTGCTGTGTTCCTGCGATGATTGATGCAGTAAAGGTAATTAAAGCTATTTGAGCTGTGGATATGTCCATGGGCATTGGCGCTGGATTAGGTAACGTATTGATCCAAATTGAACTTTTAAAACCATTTCGAGTGAGAGTTGAATGAAGATACAACGGGATTTGGTCGATCGCTGTAACGGGATTTTAGGGAAGCATTTTCTTCCGTTTCCAGTATTGCAGAATACTGGAAACGGAAGAGAATGCTTCCCTACGCAGAAGGTGTGACACGCATTGAGCTTTCGATAATATTTCAGTTTTCCAGCGTTAGCATTATATTTGGGAATAACTTGTGCTTTGAGCCTACCGCAACAAATCTACATCACAAATGAGCTTTCATTCATGAAGGCCGCCTGGGTTGCTGCATTCACAAGCGAGATCTGCCCCCGACATAATATCAGCTGGCTAAACAGTTTTGCGGCCTTTGGCAACGGCATGGCGTTGTAAAGGTTGCTGTGAACTGGACACCAAGAAATGCTCCTGTATATATACTTAACGAAAGTAGACATGAAAGCATTTGATTGTAAATTACATTGCTCAACTAAACAGCGGTATCATGGCTTTCATGTACATGTATGCATTCTGTTTGAGGTGTTCTTGCATCTCGTTCGGCCTTCAGTTTTCGCTGGAACAACGGGCTTTGATTCAGGTTCCCTCCTCTTGAGAAAATACCCTGGGGTAATTAAAACTTGTGGCATATTTTTTAACAAGTCTGTACTGGCTGCTGATAAGAGTAAGCCTCGAAAGCAGCTGTATGCACAATCTAACAGAGACTTACGCAATGTAGCGTGCAATGGTTTGTTACAACGGTGGGATATCGGTCTCCCCACCTTCATACTACGCAGTGCCGGTGCCGCTGCCTTTTGTCAAAAAGCTGCTTCGAACGCAGCGCATCACAAGTTGTTGTGGGCTGCTCACTACGGGAAGTCCTGACAAGCCACATTGCCATATAGGTGCCCCTTCGATTGGCGTTGTAATTGTCTCCTCGGCCCTGTGTGAGTAGACCATCGTGTTGTCGCTAGGCGTCTCCATCCATTTACCTTGCGTTAGCTCCCTTGCAAGTTGAACAACGAAAAACCGCGATAATTGGTCATATCAAAATCAGTCGTCTTGACATGTATGCATTCACACGGGCCGAACTCCATTCCAATTTACTATATCATTTCTTAACTGTTTGACCGTCTGCTGACAAAACTCGCCCTCGCAATTGATCCAGATGAGCGACACCTTGCGCGATTGCATTGTAATGGGATACACACGATTGAGCATTAAACGGCTGCAGCTGACTTCCGAGACTTCGTGTAAGCTCGGTCTCAGACGGCTTGTCAGCATTTGAGATCAATTTTACTACCGCACTGTCAAACCACAACACTGCAATCCTCCCATGTCCGACCAAAATCACTGGCCGGTACTGCCCGCGATGTTGCTCCTTCATTTTCGGACGACACGATGCAGGAACTCCACTGTTCCCGCAAATAGTTCATCGACCGTAGAGGCCCTTAAGGCACAGCGCCGCAAGAAGCTGCACTGAAATGTAGTAGCGATCAGTGTTTATTATCTGATTCGAGTCATAACGAGGTCGTTCAGCTTCCATAATTTTAATACGATTTTTTGATAGCTCGTCCAAATTTATTTGCAAGACAGCTAAGTCTTCTGTTGCAACTACGCATTGGAGACGTTGAGACAATTCACTGGCGCAATTGACTCGAAAATTGATAGCTATTCACGATGAAGCGCATCAAGGCTTGTAAATCCGTAAGTGATATCTGCCCCCAGGCTTCATATGATTATTCATTATCAGTCTCCGGCCAAACTTGGTCCTGCATGCAGCACTAACATCGTCAAGTGACACGTCTCTGCCGATTTCCACATATTTTCCACCCGTATTCTTCAACATATTCAAAAGCGATTTAATATTCCGGATCTGTTTCACATGTCCTGCTTCTTCTGAAATCGTAGCACCACCCGCTTGTCGATCTTGTAGAATTATTCCTTTCGATTGCTACTATTTCTGCTCCTTGGTCGAACCCACTTACAATACAGCTGCTAGTGATATACTTCCATCGGTGTCAAGAACTAATGGTTCAGTCGCGCTGCTAGCTGTCACAGCTCGTGAGTCGCTATCAGCATTCTATTTGATGAGGTACATGGCTAAAGCAAAAGGACTGGCGTAAACTATTGCATCCCCCAACGACATGATATAAATCGGAAGGCTCCACGACGTGTGCAACGCTGTCAAAATGCATGTTCTTTATACTCTCGGCTTCAAGCATTGAGATTCCAATGGATTATACTGCTCGTTGCTGGCGTCGATTGCTGCCAAATTGCTATCATTCTCCGCAAAACCGGATTCAGTAGTGTGGAGCTGGCAAAGCGACCCCCACGCCGGCTTTGACGATGATGCTAAAAAACGTTAAGGTTTACGATGCCACGCCGACCCATTTGTCTGCTTTTTGGAATTGCGTATCCAATGAGAGGACCTAAAACAATCCAATAAAGAGCGAAACAAGGTCGACGGTGTATGCGCTCCCTGCATCGTCGAAATCCCGCTGTGACAGCCAAACTCCCTTCAGCAGAGAGAATGTAACAAGCGTTTCAGCATGACACTATGATGGACGGGGGTGCCAGTGCAACGGTCGTACTACCATGTAAACTAAGGGTTCGGCGGGTTGCTCTGCTGTTACTGCCATAGAAGCTGTACTTACACCATCCGGCACTGGAGTTGGCATTTCCCATCACCGCCGCTACGTTTCCTTGTATTTTCCGTGGTTGTTTTTCTTCGCGGGCATCAGGCGGTTTGCGGTTGGAGCGCTTCTTCTGGTGAACGCGCTTCTCTGATGCCCAGCATGTAAGACTTCGCTTGAGTTTAAATGGGTAAGCTGGCTGCTGCTCTTCAACTGCGATTGATTGTTGTATGATTTGGCGTGTCTGCATGTTATTGATTTTGGCGAGGGATTGACACTACATTCGTGGGGTGGGCGTGGACTACCGTCTTACCCCGCATATAAGGCATAGGTGCTGTAAATGAATACAACGCTGCTTGTGTGTTATAATCGTTTAGAAAGCCTATGTGTTGTACAACGAACAAATTGTTTGACTTTGAAGAAGCAAGTCTATGGGTCCTGGAATATGGCTTGGTCGTTTAGGCTTGACCCTCCTACGCGATCGGCGTGGGTTCAAACCGCCACGCTGTGCTTCTTGCTAAGAGCAGCAAAGCCGTGACCTTTCACGCCTATCCGATAGTCTGCTAGAACAGCGATTTTCTCGTGGATACTATAGCTACGTCGCTCAGCACATATGGTGTAAATTTTAAAATAAGAGAATTAAAGCCAAGTAACAGCAGCACCGACAAGTTTGTTCAGAAGGGTGGTTGGTTGGGAGCTCTCAAGAATATTCATTGGCTGGTACAGCCTTGTGTTTTACACATGTGTTCTAATTAGATAGGTGGTCAAATTGAGGTTTAAGCTAGATGTCGAGCGAATCCCGTATTTATTTAGAGCACATATGCCTTATATGCGGGGTAAGACGGTAGTAGAGTGTCAGCTCGAAGGTTCACACGACTGGCGTGGTGGTGCTCGTCCAGCTCAGCTGTCGCTTAAAAAACCAACATTCCTTTCTGTGCTGCATTTGATACAGGAGTGCGTACCGGCCTGTGCATCGCAAGCCAAGTGGATGCCGTCGATTTAGCGATCTTTTTCGGCCACTGCGCAATAAACCACTGTTATAACATTATACAGAGAGGCCAGCCATCGATCACGGATATACATGTTTAGATGAAGACACATTTCCTGAATGATCTTACATATCTAAATCCAAAGGTCATAGAACCCTATCAATAGCTTCACGACTGGAATCTGATGCGAAACACTTTAATCCTCCATGCTTATCGCCGATCCTTCAGCTTACCTGCTTGTCAGTCGTCATGCGTAGTGTCCTTCGCGGCTTTTCACTGTGTTTACCAAGCCAGCAGCAGCAAACGGCGCCACTCTTTCACAATATTACACTTAGAGTCTCGTCGACTAGCTACTTAGCGTGAGCTCAAAGCAATATTTGAGTTCCAGCCAGTCACAGCCATAAAATGAAATGGTCCGATCTAAACCGCTTTGCGGGCACGTCGCTTTCACACGCTTGGTCAAAATACAATGTGGTCATGGGGTGGGATTTCCAAACGGATCAGAATGGCTCCATTTGATTTTCCGTCACTAGTGTTAGTATAGTCTACTAATTTGAGTCATTCGAGAAAGGGTTAAGCGCTCCCTATTGTGCCATGGGCAAATTTACGGACTACGGGTGTTCCATCCCCGCAGAGGATGCCATTATTCGGCGCAGGAGAGGGATTGACTACAAGTGCTATCGAGTGCAGCGTGGCTACCGTAGTTTTAGCGTTTGAGAAAGACGTCTGACTAAAAGCGTTCGAAATATTGTGCCTTACTGCCAAAAACGCTCTCAGTTTTATATACCCTACGTAGGAGGATGGTCCGTACGGAAGACCTCCTATCTGATCGGGTGCATCCGACTAAATTT